ATCGTGTGCATAGAGACCACTAAGGGAATCTGTTTATCAACTCATATCAAGCAGCAACACGGCTCCTCTTTCCTTTGTCATTTGGGCAGTGTCAGAGAAGGTCTAGTGGAGAGTAAGTACTTCCACCGATGCCTAGTGTAACAAGGCCCCACACCCCTGGGTGTCAGTGGAGGCCATGTGAGGAATAGTAAGGAGCACTACAGCCCTTCCCAGCTAAATAGCGTGAGCTGTGGTCCAGTAGAAGTGGGAACTCTCCCTCCTGCTCAACAGTAAGTAACGAGGAGTCCTTCCCCTCCCTGTATACCAAAAGAAGATAAATAAGAAATCTGAACTTCTACTCCACCTGTCCAAAACAAAATAGCATCCATCTAAAACTAGGGCAGCTAAAATATATTTAAATAAGACCTAGAAATTCACAACATAAAACCCAAAAGGTCTAAGTTCCAATCAAAAATCTCTCATCATACTAAAAACCAGGAAAATCTTAACTCTAATTAAAAAGACAACCTATAGATGTCGATACCAAGATAAGAGATCTTAGCATTATACAACAAAGATTTTAAAGCAAATATAAGAAAAATGATTCAACAACAATTATAAACATTCTTAAAATAAGTGAAAAACCAGTAACTCTGTAAAGAAATAAAGTCTCAGCACAGAAACAGAAGATATAAAGAAGAACTAAACGGAAATTTTAGAACTGAAAAATACAATAACCAAAATTAAAAATTCAACAGGCAAATACAATAGAATAGAGGGGACAGAGGAGGTAAAAATCAGTTACTTTAAAGAAAGAAAAAATCGAAATTATCCAATCTGAACAGCATTAAAAGAAAAACAGACTGAAAAAACTCAAAAATAAAAAGTATCTTCAGGGACAAACTACACTAAAATATACAACATTGGCATCACCAGAGACCTGGAAAGTAAGGAAAAAGAGGGCAGAACTGAAACAGATCTGAAAAAACAATGGCTGAAAACTTCTATATTTGAAAAAAAGACACAACCCTACAGACTCAAGAAGCTAAGCAAACCTTAAACAGGATAAAGCCAAAGAAACATGTACCATGACACAGCAACCAAATTTAGACACCCCCCCCCCCAAAAAAAAAAGGCTGGGCACGGTGGCTTATACCTGTAATCCTAGCACTTTGGGAGGCAGAGGCAGGCAGATGACACGGTCAGGAGTTCAAGACCAGGCTGGCCAATATGGTGAAACCCCAGCTATACTAAAAATACAAAAAAAAAAAAAAAAAAAAAAACAAAAACAAAAAAAAAAAAAAAAAAAAAAAAAAAAAACACACACACCTTGAAAGCACCTTACCTCTATAGGGAAAAATAGAGATTTTTCATCAAAAATCATGGCACTAAAATAAAGTGGCACAACATTTTTCAAGTGCTGAAAGAAAATAACTGACTACCTGGAATTTTAGAACCTGCAAATATGGCTTGAAAAATGAAGGGGAAGGCCAGGTGCAGTAGCTCATGCCTGTAATCCCGGCACTTTGGGAGGCCAAGTGAGGTGGATCACCTGAGCTCAGGAGTTCAAGGCCAGCCTGGGAAACATGGCAAAACCTCAGCTCTACCAAAAATATACAAAAAATTGGCTGGGCATGGTAACACGCACCTGTGGTCACAGCTACTCCGATGGCTAGGGTGGGAGAATTACTTGAGCCTAGGAGGCAGAGGTTGCAGTAAGCTGAGATTGCACCACTACACTCCAACCTGGATGACAGACTGAGACCCACCACATCTCAAAAGAAAAAAAAAAAGAATGAATAGAAACCATGATATACTCTAATAAAGAAAAACTAAGAGATTCTGTCACCAGCAGATCTATTCTAAAAGAAAGGGTAAAAGAAATTTCCTAAACAAAAATGAAATAATAAAAGGTATCTAGAAGTATTACAAAGGAAAAATAAACACAGCACGAGCAAAAAATATAGATAAATACAATAGACTTTCCTTTTCCTTTTGACTTTTCTAAATTGGCCAATATGATTCTAAATGTATATAGAGAAAATGTTTAAGAAAATTATATATAGGAGAGGGTAAAGGGATATAGAAATAGGTAAGGTTTCTACACTTTACTCAAACTGGTAATATATCAACACCAGTACTGTGGTAAGTTATGTATATAACACAATACCTTGGACAGACAGGTAAAAAGCTATACAAAGAGATACTCTCAACAACACTGTAAATCAAAATATAATTCTAAAAAATGTTTAGGTTACCCCAGAGAAGTAGCAAAAAGAAAACAGAGAGATGAAAAATAGAGATTAAAAAATAAAACAAATTTTTAACCCAAATTTTAATATTAACAGAATAATATTAAATTATAAATTTATACATTGTAAGTGTAAATGTATACAGATAAGAGATTAGCAGAATGGACTTGAAAATATGACCTAACAAAATGTGGTATTTACAAAGAGCTCACTTCAAAAAACACAACATAAGTTGGTTGAAAAAGTATGGAAAAAGATATACCAGGAAACCATTAATCAAAAGAAAGCAGGAGTGGCTAAGTTAATATGGGAAAACACAGACTTCAGAACGAAGAACAGTACCAAATACAGAAAGACATTACTTGATTGTAAAATGAATGATCCACCAAGAGGATATGGCAATCTTAAATGTGTATGTACTAAATAACAGAGCTATAAATTAGGTGTAGCAAAAACTGACTGAAGAAAGTACGACTTATCACTTATATCTGCAGAAAGCAAGAAATCTCTTTTCTGCAGATTCTAGAAAATCAATAAGGATACAGCAGAATTCAATAGCATCATCATCCAAAAGATCTAATTGACATTTATAGAACTCTTCACCCAATAACAACAGAATGTACATTCTTTACAAAGGTCCCAAAAGCATACACCAAGACAGACCATACCCTGACCCATAAAACAAACCTCAACAAATGTAAAAGAACGGAATCAGACAGAATATGTTCTCTGAGTACAACAGAATCAAACTAGAAAGTGGCAACAGAAAGGTAACAGGAAAATCTCCAAACACTTAGAAATTAAACATACTTCTAAATAATCCATGAGTTACAAAAGTCGGAAAAATTAAATGAAATACATTGAACTAAATGAAAATACAACATAATATTTGCAAATAAGGGAAATGTAAACCAAAAATATAAGTGGGATACCACTTCACACCTATTAGAACGGCTATTACTTTTTAAATGGTTAATAACAAGTATGGACAATGATATGAAGAAATTGGAACTCTTGTGCATTGATGGTGGAAATGTAAAATGACACAGTTGCTATGAAAAACATATTGGTTGTTCCTCAAAAAGCATACAATAAACATAGAATTACTCTATGATCTAGCAATTCCACTTCTAGGTATATACCTAAAAGAACTAAAAATGGTGACCCAAAAAGATAACTGTACTATCATGTTCATAGCGACATCACTCACAATACCCAAAAGGTGGAAACAACCCCAATGTCCATCAAAATTAATAAAGAAACAAAATGTAATATATACATGCAATGGAGTACTATTCAGCCTTAAAAAGGAATTAAATCAGCCAGGCATGGTGGCTCACATCTGTAATCTCAACGTTTCTGGGAGGCTGAAGAGGATCATTTGAGCCCAGGAGTTCAAGACTAGCCTGGGCAACATAGTGAGACCCTGTCTCAATAAAAAATAAAAAAATTAGCCAGACATGATGGCATGTGCCTGTAGTTCCAGCTACTCAAGAGGCTGATATGGAAGGATCACTTGAGCCTGAAAGGTCAAGGCTGTAGTGAGCTACGATGGTACCACTGTACTCAGCCTGTATGATAGAGCAAGACTCTGTCTAAAAAAAAAAAAAATGGAAGAAAAAAAAAAGGAATGAAATCCTAACACAGCCTACAACCTGAATATACCTTTAAAACATTCTGCTAAGTAAAATAGGCTAGACACAAAAGGACAAATATTATATAATTCCACTTACATCAGGTACACAGAAGAGGCAAATTCATAAAGGCAGGGAAGAGAATATATTATCAGGAGTTGGGAAGAGGGGGAAATGGGAAGTTACTGTATAATGGGTACAGGGTTTCAGTATGGGATAATGAAAAAGTTCTGGAGATAAACAGCGGTGATAGTTGTACAACACTGTAAATGTACTTAATGCCAGTGAGTTGTACACATAAAACTGGTTAAAATGGTAAATATTATGTTATGTATATTTTGCCACTATATATGTTATGTACATAAATACAGCATATAAGTATATATTATACACATATACATTTAAAATAAAATTCAATGGTTTTTATAATTCAGTGCTTTTTGCCCAGATATTATTTCTAGGGCAGTATACAGTTCAGAATTTAAAATGTCACAAATAAATACTCAGTGAAAATAATGACAAAACCTGGGAAGTCCCTACATATGTCTACTTGAATGGGTTCATGGATTCTAGGTCCTGGTGGTGTGGTAGGACAAATGGAGTGAGAGTACCCGAACAAGAAGGCCTTAAAGATAAGAGGTGGTGATCAGAGAGTGGGAAGCATAAAATTGAGACTACACATGGGTTATAGTTATTCATAATGACAAAAATCTAAGGTCTGATTATAGGAATTTTGAATAGCTAAGGTGTAATTCAGAATGCAAAATAGTATCACTGGAAGAGAGGCGTTCAAAACACCAAGAGCATTTCAGAAGGATTATCTCAATGTACACTGAAATCAGCCAGAAACCCATACATTCTAAAATTTCTCCAATTAGCATGTAGTAAACTTCATATTTTCAAATTTTAGTAACACAAACATAAGTATATAATTACAAGTCAATCAAGCTGTTATTTCCATTTGTTCAGTATCTGGTACCCTTTCACAGCTAAATGGAAAATGCTAATATATAACTCAATCCTATAATGCTTATTTGCATTTTTAGTTTTCCACAGCATTTCATAAAAATGACCTCTAATTTTTTTTTTTTTTTTTGAGACAGAGTTTCGCTCTCGTTACCCAGGCTGGAGTGCAATGGCGCGATCTCGGCTCACCGCAACCTCCGCCTCCTGGGTTCAGGCAATTCTCCTGCCTCAGCCTCCTGAGTAGCTGGGATTACAGGCATGCGCCACCATGCCCAGCTAATTTTTTATAGTTTTATAGAGACAGGGTTTCACCATGTTGACCAGGATGGTCTCGATCTCTTGACCTCGTGATCCACCCGCCTCGGCCTCCCAAAGTGCTGGGATTACAGGCTTGAGCCACCGCGCCCGGCCATGACCTCTAATTTTTAAGACAAATGGAGGTATGTTTTTAATTCATATTTCTAACATAATATTAGTTTTTATCAAAACATTATTCTCATGCCAGCTTTTTAAATAAGGGAACATTTATGTCTCTGACACAGTACAAGGCTTATGGTAATAAATCAATAAATGAGACCGGGCGTGGTGGCTCAAGCCTGTAATCCCAGCACTTTGGGAGGCCGAGGCGGGTGGATCACGAGGTCAAGAGATCGAGACCATCCTGGTCAACATGGTGAAACCCCGTCTCTACTAAAAATACAAAACATTAGCTGGGCATGGTGGTGCGTGCCTGTAATCCCAGCTACTCAGGAGGCTGAGGCAGGAGAATTGCCTGAACCCAGGAGGCAGAGGTTGCGGTGAGCCGAGATCGTGCCATTGCACTCCAGCCTGGGTAACACGAGTGAAACTCCGTCTCAAAAAAAAAAAAAAAAAAAAAAATCAATAAATGTAAATTCATTTATTTTAAAGGGGACAGATAATAGTATAAACCCACATAATTATTATTTACTTCAGTGTCTATTCCTAGAATAGATTCTTAAATTTTCACCTTGAGTCTTTAAAAGTTCTAAATGTAAAATTCCAGGATTGATTAAATCCTGAATATAAAGTTTCAGAGTTGACTAGGAAACCAGCAATTCTATAACATCCCCTAACATCCTCTCCCAACTCAGATTTCAACAAAATGAGGTAACAAGAAGTAAGATTATGAGACTAATGACGGAACCCAATTAGCTCCTATCTTTCCACTATCTTTTCATGGCCTAGTCAGTCATACACCAATAACATACTATAGTCTGAATATGTTACTTACGGTGGTGTGATGGGATATATTGCCAACAATATTAAGGTTTTTGAGCAGTTGGGGAGAACCACTATATTGACCGGAGATCTGCTTCCTAACTTCAGCTGCCACCGTTCTATAACGAAGAAAGCAAAAACATTATACACATTATTTTTTTAAAAAGCTAAACTAGTTTAAAATAGAGGGAAGCTAAATACATTACAGATTCATTTAAAGAACAAATAAACTCAGCATATCAATAAGGCTATAAATTCATAAAACACTTTAGGAAATACTTTTCTAGCTTATAATTACATTAGAACAGCTTATAATGTTGATGTAGGGTAAAAGAGTGCCAAACAACTTATATGAGGCTTTTATATAGCATTTTGGGGAACATACTTTGGCCTACGATAGAGCTGGAACTATAGAGCTGGCTCTATAGTTGGAAGCTATAAAACAATATATCTATTAAAATGCATATAGTTTAAAGTATGATAAGAATTAGGAATAAAAAAAAACTCTGGAGTATTTTCAAGCTAATGATTTAATTCAAAGCCCTGATCATCCTGGTCCCCATTAGAATTTCCAGCTGAGTTTCAAGATAATCTCATTTTCCTAAAAGTATCCAGATTTAGGATATAATCTTTTTT